AGCTCAGGGGAGGGGCTCAAGTGCACATGGTTAGGTTACTAAGGAGAGGAGAAATTACCTTTTCTGCAGCCTATTGATAAGTGGAATTGCCCCCGGGCTTCTGCAACTGATCTGATGGGTGCTGTTGTTCTGTGGCCCTTCCAGCCTTCGTGAGTGGAAGCGGAAGGTGGCCCCACCTGTGTCCTTAGCTGAAACTTGGCCTGGCACCGACTGTATAACCCCTTGTGAGAGGGCTATTTGTGGTTTCGGTCACATTGCCCAAAAGATAAGGAATTTCAGGAATTCTGCCCAGCACCTCTGAAACAGAATCCCAAACAATGGGCCTTTCTTGGAGCCCTAAACGTTTGACATTCAAATGTTATTTTAACTTGTTTTCTGTTAGCTTTAAGTGTGGAGTCTCAGGTCCTATGGAAACTTTGGTCCACTGGGGAGGCGGGGCCGTTCTATAACTTCTAGAGGCCGAAAGCTCATAGCCCACGCAGCCAATGAGTTACTCAAGAAGGAAAAGCACTGTGCAGTAGTTTTCAGTTCTCACTCTTAGTTCTATGTCAACTTATTTTTGAGCTTATTTTTCTAGACTTTGCATCCTGAGGCCTACCAGCCCTGGTGGTGTCTACCAGGACCAGAGACAAGGGATTGAAATTATTTTGATACCGATTTTAGCCTGTCTCTCCTATCTGGGTGTATTTGAGAATTAAGGAAATAGTGCATATAAAAGTGCTTTGGAAAAGTTTTATAGATCTGCAAGTCATGTTATCACTAGAGTCTTTTTAGTGGCAGGAACAAATACTGTTCAAAAGTAAGATTAGTGATACTGTAAAGGGGAAAATTAAGCTAAGCAATTCACCTTTGTTTCAGGATCCTTTCTGTGGTTTAGCTGTATAGAGTTTAAAAGACTGGAGATCTAAAGCTCTTTTTCAGTAGTGTTTATTTTTCTTGATATTCATGAGGAGTAAGGTGTGAGAAGTAAATATGTTTTGTCTGACATGGAAGGAACATTCAAATATTATTTTTTTCAGGAGCACACAGAAGGAGATTTCTCATTGCCTTGCCCCTCATGACAGCCAGTGACTTTATAGTGGCACAGAAGAGGGCTAGGGACTCTGTCAGGAAAAGTCTTTGGAGCCCTCAGATCCTGGGTAACATGTCTAGGCTATGAACTGAAGATTATAATCCTCTGCTCACAGACTAGTAGGATCAGCTGTTAAATGTGTGGAGACAACATCAGAGAGCAGAGGTTCAGTAAATAGTAGGTGGTATTCTTTTTTTTGGTACTGGGGATTGAACCTCGGGACCTTGTGCTTTTGAGACAGACGGCAGAACCACTGAGCTAAATCCCCAGCCCTAATAGGTGATATTCTTATTTGAACTGGTGATAATTAACATCAACCAAAGATATTCCATCAGACATTGTAGTGTACGAGAGACTGTGTTAGGTGATTTTGAGAAAGCTATAAAATACAGTTTCTGGGATTAAAAAGCTTGTTCGTAATTAGTGAAGTCTTCGGTAAAAAAAATGAGTAATGAATGATAAGAAGATAAAATAGTTCATGAATTTGTGGGATGCCCAGGAGGAAGCTGCACTTTGAAAATAGGCACACATAGAGACAGAAAGAATAAATGGCCATTCCCAAAGTGAGTCTTTATTTCCCTCCTTAACTTCTCCCTCCTTTCCTGCATCCTTCCCTACTGAATACAGCAGGTAGATTCACCCTGCTGCTTCCCCCCTAAATCTTTTACCAGGTTAGCCTCCCTGAGGCTTTTAACGCCCCTAAATCTGATTCTTCCTCTCTGTTCTGGGTATGAGAATGTTAGAGAGAGTCAGGACTCTCTGACTCCCAATACAAGATCAAATGGGGCAAAAATCCTTCCAACAGCAGTATCCATAATCAGTATTGATTAGTTACCAAGGCAGTCCCTACTCAAATACCCCTCCATGTTGAAACCTAGAGTTATTTACTTCTAATTGCTTAAACTATTATGACTATCTAATATGGTGAGTATTTGACAATACAATGCAGATAAAAGTCTTAAAGGGTGATCAGATTTCCTGAAGTCCCTGCCAGTGGTATTGAAGACTGGCTATAAACAACTTCACCTCCATTGGGGAAAGTGTGTGCTAACGTATGTGTGAACTTTCGACAGCATGCTGCCTCTCAGGCAGTCGGAGCATTCTCCCTGTGTTCATTTCCATTCCTTGTTTCAATTTAAGCTGTAGCTTCCACCTTGTGTCTCAGGCCAGGCAAGGAAACACACACAGTGTCTGACCTTGAACTCCATATAGCCTGTCACTGTGCCCCTCATCCTCCTCCTGGAACCCAAGTGATTCACTAACAGCAGGAATCAAGATGGAGGAGATTGTGTGCCTTACAAGACAGAAATTCCCAAAGGAGAAAGAAAGCTCTTGGGAAAGTTGATAAAAAGCGGTCAGCGAGGCCAGGTGGTTTTGAGGTCTGTAGCTTCTGGAGTCAGCCTGCTTGAGCTTCTCTGCCCCTCAACTGTGTGACCTTGGTCAGACTGCTAATGTTTCTGGGCCTCCATTTTCTTTTCTATTTAAGTGTCTAATGCAGATTTTATTGTAGGTTCTATAATTAAATGCCTCATCTGACAAGTAGAATGTGCACAATAAAAACTAATCTTTGAAAAAAATGGCCCTCTTTAAGATCACCTTCTAAAAATCAGATGTGAAGAATATCATCTTTTATCATTCTCCTGTTACTTGTGGATAATTTATTCTTAAAAAGCCACATGTACTTGTTTTGTTTTTTTGATTATTAGCACATAGTTGCTGGCACAGCTATATTTATTTTGTTTTTTCTTCTATGAATTAGCATGTTTGCTAGCACAGTTATGAAAGTATCTCAAGAAAAGATGAAATACATTTATTTTTGTTTTATTTGTCAAGGTAAACCCTAAATGACAACCCCACCACCACCACAGACCTTATTTTGAAATTTCTATTACCATTTAAATGGATCCATTTGTCACTTTCGTTTTCTTCAGCACCAATTCTGTGAAGACCCAGACTTGTATTTTGTGATTTTTGTGAGGATTAAATGAAATGCATGTAAAGAACAAGACATATAGTGAGCACTCAGTAGCTGTTAGTGAGACTTCTCTTAATTTGCTTTTATTTCCATTGGGTGGGAATCGTTAAGAGGAGAGTGCAGACATAAGAATAAACTGTTTTCTTCTATAGCCATTAAGCACTTAGTCTGAACCAGACCTTACCGAGCAGGTACAAGACACTGAGGAGGACTGGTGCACCCTCCTCCTCTAATCTTTCTTTCCCCACTTTATCTCAGCTAACTGTTTAGTGGAAGAATTAGAGGCAAAACCAAATCAATAAGTACACTGTGCTTCCTGATTGCTGTAATGAAAACATTCATGCAGGTGTAGAGGGAACTTTCTTTTCTTCTTTTGCTTGGGGGAAGTGTAGGGGCCTCCCTAAGGCAGTGCTCTAGCTGGATGCAGAGCCAGTCTGGCTCAGGAGGAGTGAGGTCTAGTAGGAAATGCAGGTCACTGTGCAGGTGGTCAGTGAGGAGTGTGGACATTGTTCCTGAGTAACAGGGAGCCTTGAAGGTTTTTGGTTTTGTTTTGAAGTGCAAGATTATCAGGGTCTGGTTTACACACAGGGAACTTGCCCTCTGAGAGTGTACAGTTTGATGAATTTTGACAGATGTTTACAGTCCTGTAGCCATTACCATTATCAAGGTACAGCATTTCTTATCACCTGGGAAGTCCCCGATGTCCCTTTATAGTCAGACCTTTTCCTCAGCCTCTGGTGACCACTGATCCATGTCTGTCCCTGTACTTTCTTTGCCAGACTGCCTCAGGGATCTGATATGGATCCTTCATGACTGGCTCCATCATTTAACAGTGGTTTCCAGGTTTATCCATGGTATTGTGAGTGCTGGTAGCTAGTTCCAAAAGATTAGAAAGATAAAGGATGGCAGGACACTTAGGAAGAAGACTCTACTAGCTGTGGTCCCTGAGATGGACACAAGAGGGAAGGAGGGGCAGCCTCCATGCATCAGAACCTTGGGAACCTGAGCAACACTCCCATGGTTCCAGGCAGAGGAGATCAGCCAGAGAGAGAAAGAGAGAGAGAGAGAGAGAGAGAGAGAGAGAGAGAGAGCAACCAAAGGGCAAGGAAGGCTGGAGGGTGGGTTGTGGGTGCAGGGCCTGAAAGCACACTAATCCTAGCCATGGTCAGGAGAGCTGGGGACAGACCTGATCTGAGTGCCCATCCTAGAAGTTGGGACATTGCCAGGATTGAGGGTGGGGAAACCAGCAACTGGGTGGTGTTTCACTGAAGTTTTTACTTTTTCCTGTTCTTTGAACTTAAGTAACGCAGCAGTATCATGTAAATGATCTTCTTCGTGAGTTAAAGTATCCCGAACATTTTGCATATTCATAGAGGAGAATGTCTGATGATGATGAGTTATGGTAACAAATATTTGTGATATTCTCTAATATATTCAGCAGGAAGGATGCTCCATTAGGTCAGGAAAGAATTTCCTGGAAGGAAACAGTGTGTCTTTTTTCCTAGCAGGTAAACTTTCACAGACTTCTGATCCAACCTGTGATATCTCAGTTAAAGTTTCTTGTCCCTAGAAATCGTTTACTTCTCATAAAGAGATATACAGAGTGCTGAGCTGTCTCATGCCTGCCTGTAGATTTTCTGAAAACCTCATAACTCATGCACAAACCACCTCCTAAAGACCATGATACAAATGGTATAGGTTAGATAAAATGTACAGACTTGAGCCTCATGAGAGCAAGGTAGGATGACCTGTCTCAAAATTAAAAAAAATAAAATAAAGGGCTGAGTATTTAGCTTAGTTGTAGAGTATGCCTGGGTTTAATTCCTAGTACAGGAAAAAGAAAAAAATAAGGTAGATACAAGGTCATTCTCACTTATCCCAGCTGCTACAGTCAAAAAATTGTGACTGGAAAAATCAGCATATGAAAATGTCCCACCTTTGATTTCCATTTAGTTTTGTTGCTGGAGAAGATAGAACATGATGACGTTTGCAATAAGACACTGAAGATTACGGACTTTGGGCTGGCTCGGGAGTGGCACAGGACCACCAAGATGAGCGCGGCAGGCACCTATGCCTGGATGGCCCCTGAGGTCATCAGATCATCTCTGTTCTCCAAGGGGAGTGACATCTGGAGGTGAGCACACATCTTTGTATAGCACGGTCTGCAGTCACAGGCTTGGTTTCTTCTAGACCTGTAGGACTATTCGATTCTGAACCCAATGGCAGGGTCCTCTGGAAGATGGTGTCATGATTTGAATCAAGATGGCCCTAACAGCCAAGTGTGGTGGCGCACACCTGTAATCCCAGTACTCTGGGAGGCTGAGGCAGGACAATCTCAAGTTTGAGCCCAGCCTGGGCCACTTACTGGTTTAGTGAGATCCTATCTCCAAAATGAAGAATAAAAAGGGCTGGGGATATAGTTCAGTGTGAAGGGCCTGAATTCAATCTCCAGTATTTCAAAAAACAAAAAAGGTGGCCCTAATGACATCAGGATAGGCAACTTGAGGTTTCTGTTGTCAAGTAATTCCACTTGATAGACGAACCTTCTTGTTAAACCTGAGGCCTAATGAAAACTAGTTCTTAGTTGAATGAACCCCAGTGCCAAGATTTATAAGGCCTACCAATACTGTACATAAAAGTGATTTTTCACTTTCAGCAAACTTTTGATTCCTTGCAATTCACAAACACCATTAGCATGGAGAGAATTTGAGGAGAACATTTAGAGTCATCTCTTCATTTTATAGATTGTTCCACCTAAAGATGGATGCCTCCTATGGCCAGTGTGGGCTGGAGCCAGGTGAAATACCAGGCTGACTTCCATGCTGCTGTGCTGCATCAGGAAGACAGGGACACCAGCAGTGATAGAACAGCAAAAAGAAATCACACGTTTCATAGTTAAAGTGCACCAAGGGCTTAATTGCCTTTATTTAATGCTTTTATGTGGCATGAGCTCTGTGGAGATATCATTCACATGCTGTACAATTCACGCATTTAAGCGCTACAGTTTCTGTGTCAGTGAGTGTTTTAATAAGGTTGTGTGTATATCCAACACCTCAGTGGATTTTAGAACATTTTCATTGCCCCACAAAGAAACCCTGTACCCATTCCCTTCTTTGTCTGCCCCAAGCAGCCACCAGTCTACCTCTGTGTCTTTGGCTTTGTTTATTGTGCACACTTCATATAAATGGAGCCTTGTCATACCTGTTTCTTTGTACTGGTTTCTGCACTGAGCATAATGTTTAGAGGTCATCTGGGCTACAGCTTATATCAAAACTTTATTCTGTTTTTTTGGCTAATACTCCACTCATAGCTAGACCACATTTTGTTTACTCATTTTTCTGTTAATGAATGTTTGAGTTGTTTCCAGTTTTTGCTTCCTGTGAATGGTACTGCTACAAACATTCATGAGCAAGTTTTTTGAGGCAATATATTTTCAGTGCTCTTGGGGGGTGGGGTATTCCTGAGAAATCATTGGGCCATATGGTAATTCTGTGTTTCACCATTTGAGGACCTGCTAGACTGTTTTCCATAGCAGCTGCACTATTTTTCATTCACACCAGTAGTACATGAGGGCGCAGATTTGCCACATCCTCCCCAACCCTTGTTGTTATTTGACTTTGATTCTGGTGTGAAGTGGTATTTCATTATGGTTAATATTTCAGTCACCCCTTGGAGTGCTGCACTGCAGCCTGCAGCTCAGCTTCATCCTGAGAACAGCACATTCCCAACCCATTTCACATGTGGGAACTTTGCTTTCCAGCTATGGCGTGCTGCTGTGGGAGCTGCTCACAGGAGAGGTGCCCTACCGCGGCATTGACGGTCTGGCTGTGGCCTATGGGGTGGCAGTCAACAAGCTCACTCTGCCCATCCCGTCTACCTGCCCCGAGCCATTCACCAAGCTCATGAAAGGTATCTGTGCAGCCCTTGCTGGCCTGTGTGCAGGAGGAAGAAAGCCACTCTGGAGAACATTTGCATGTTTTTAACCCAAAAGCAATGCCTGTGATTACCATTTTCAATTGTTTCTAAGTAATTATACAGTTTTAAGAATTAGAAACCTCATCTTTTGATACAAGTTTGGTAAACTGAGTAACTGAGAGCCATCCATTTTTATCAGTGATTCATTTCTCCAGAACTCAGGTGAGTGTCAATACCACTTCATGCTACTCTGAGTAGGCAAGAGGAAGCCAGCACAGACCTGAGCTGGATGCACATTGGTCTTGTTATGCTCTACCTGATGAGCAGAAATGTTTTACAGGCTAACCTGCATGGCTTTGCTATAATCTTGTAGATTTGATCCTTATCTTTTAAAAATTGCTAACTCTTTGTGACCAGCAAGTTAACTTCATTATCAGGTTATTTCCTGAACTCCTCTTGTGATTATTATAAAGTTTTAGAGACTTTGGTTTTCTTAGGTTGAATTTTATATGTATGTAATTTTGCATCAGTAAATTTCTTGGCCGTGGCAGCTTAGGCCTCTGAAGCACACAGTTCATGGTAAGGCCTGGAAAGCAGATGTGCATGTTTTCAATACAGTGTAATACAGGCAACAGCAGCCTTGCTATGAATGATTACTATGCACTTCCGTGTCCTAGACTCTGAGTAACATAAAGGATACAAAATCACCATCCATAGTTCCTTAGATGGTTCAGGAGCAGAGACTGAATATGTGAACTTCTGGTTTACAGAGACAGATGTTAAATTGATAAACCGTTCAGAGTAAAACATACCTTAGAACCCCTGCTGTTGTAGAGGTTGCTGGCACCATGCTGACAGGTGAATTTCTGTTGATCCTTGTTTCTCCAGAGTGCTGGGAACAAGACCCTCATATTCGCCCGTCGTTTGCCTCAATCCTGCAACAGCTGTCTGCTATTGAGGTGTCTGTGATGACCGAAATGCCCCAGGAGTCTTTCCATTCCATGCAAGATGACTGGAAGCTGGAAATCCAACAAATGTTCGATGAGCTGAGAACAAAGGAAAAGGTGAGAGAAATATTTAATTGTATATTATATTCACATGTTTAAAAATTATACAAAAACCAAGTGCTGCTAGTTAGCATTATTCTGTAGTATTTTCAGACATCAGTATTTATTGACTTGTTTTCTTTCAGTTTAAAAATAAAAACAAAAGTGTACTTGATATGTGTAATTGAGGGAAAACTTTCATTTGAAAATTTTTTCAATGTAAAATGAAGAGAGAGAATAGCATAATAAACTGTTTGTATACGTTAACCAGTTTCAGTAATTGTCATTTTTTTTTTTATCATTTTGTGCATTTCTTTTCTCCATTATCTTTTTTGGGGGGGGCCGGGTATCAGGGATTGAACTTGGAACCTTACACTTCTGAGGCAGGCGGTGGCACCACTGAGCTAAATCCCTGGCCCCTCCATTATCATGTTTAATACTAGCATATTTAAAACAGAATCCTAGATTCATGTTATTTTAACATAAGTGCTTCAGTATGCATCTTTAACTGACAAGAGTTTTTAAAAAATAATTTCATTAACATTATTTAAAAAACAATGATTGTTTAATATCATAATTGTTCCACATCGGATGTGACAAAGATGTCTTCTCATTGTTTGTGCAAATCAGAATCATACAAGACCTATGTGTTGTTTTTGGTTATGTTTCTTACAGCTTCTTTGATGGTGTTTCTCCCTAATTCACACCTCTTATTTCCAAGACCATTGCATTATTGGAAAAACCAGAAAAGTGTGAAAATTTTGAACTCTTTAATGTGTGGTGTTAAGCTGTGCTTGGCTGTTAAGGGGAAAAATAAGCCCATAAGGTAAATATACAGGGACTGCAGTTACCTCACCCCCTGCAAAGTCAAAGTTCAACTGAAAGGCAGACTGGTGGGAAGTGAGTTGAGCTAGCGTGGTCCCTTGAATGGTAACAGACACTATGGAAGGGCACTGAAGCACCCCAAATCCAAGTCATGCTTTCAGGAGTAGTATTTATTTTAAAGACATTTTTTGTGGTACTTTAGCATTTTGATGAGTGAAGGATTATTCTTGTCTGAAGTGTATAATTGTCCACTAGTTTCAGTTTTTCTATGGGATCTGTAACAAATGCTTATGCATATACATTCATAACACGTTATGTAAAAAGTACAACATTATAAGTTACTGATAATCTTTATAAAGTTATATCCAGAAAGGAACTTCATAACTGATAGGGCTTTCAGGTGGACAAGGGGAAAGTACAAGATGTAATCAAAATATACAGTGAATGTTTAAATAAGATTAAAGTAAAAGACACATTGCCATCGATCCATTTCAGAATTCTCTCTCTCTCATTTCAAACATACTTATCCCATTGTTCTTACACTTTTTATGGCTGCCATGATGTCCTGAATCCATTTAAAATGTTTATGTTTTCTATCAAATAAAAACATTACAGTGTGTCCTCCTCTACCTTATTCACTAGATCTGGCACTGTGACACTTCTGGCTCTTTTCCAAATTCAAAATGACCATGCACGGTAAACGTTTTGAACTGATTCAGGATTTCCAGACAGCCGTGACAGCCCAATCAATGACACTCATGGAGAGGACTTCTAGAAAGTGGCAAGAGTAAAGGGATAGGTGTGTTCAAAGCAAGAAGGAATATTTTGAGGGAGATGAATGGCAATTGGCTTTTACTGTTGTTCTTTGTTTCTTTGTTTGTTTGTACTGGAGATCGAACTCGGAACCATGTGCTTATGAGGCAGGCAGTGGCACCACTGAGCTAAATCCTATCCCTGTTATTTAAAAAGTTTAAATATTCACTGTAGTTTTTTTTTTTTAATCACACTTCATATGTTGCCTGTTGTCCTAGTGTTCAGAAGTAGCACTGGGACGAATGCCCCAGGGACTAAAGTCTCGTCTCAGATGGACATCTTTGGGACGGTCAGCTTCACTGCTGTCAGCTTCCCCCTTGGGAATGAAGGCAGAGGCCGAACAGGACACCTACATGGAACACACACTGGCACCGGTAGCCCTCTGTAGTTGTGGCAAAGACCCAGAGTTCTGAGCCAAACATCAGGCCACGGCTGGGGCTTAGCTGTATGTTGCCATGTGGCCTAGGGCTAGGTGTCCCTGTCTGTGTTCCAAGTCAGCCGAGTCACAGGAAGCCTTTCTCCCCAAGGCGGGGTAGGCTCAGGTCAGCTCCGCATGCAATGTCCAGCTTGTTTGCCTGCACAGTAAGTGCTAAGTAAATGTTGACCTTAGGAGGAAGAAAGTGACCTCAGCTGACCAAGGTAGTGAAGACTTCCCGCTCCAACCTGCCCTGGCCCAGACACTGGGAGGAGGAGGAGAAATAGTAGAGGGAGGAGAAATGCCAGAGGTGTGTGCCTCATCTTGCAGTTCCCTGCAATGTCATCCATAGGCTTTAAGAGAACTTTCATACTTTTGGTGACTTGAAATGATAGAGAAAGACTGAATTTTTTTCACACTTCTCCAAATTATTTTTTAAAATTCTAAAATTAGATAATCCCAAAAATAATGATTTTAGAAAAGTAGTAGAAAAAGATTTTGAGGGGAAAAATGCTTCAAGTCAGATTTAAGTTTGGAAGTGAGATTACTAATAACAACTTGTTTTAATCTATTTAATTATTGATAATTATTTTTGAAACTGCACGATATAGGTGTGTTGAGTAATTTTCATTATATGCAGTATAAGAATGAAAACATGCTTTCAGAATCCATGTCAGCTCCTTCTCTGTTTTGAGTTCTATGGTAGATTCTTACTGTTCTTTTGCCTGATTTTTCAGTGGTGTCTGGTTTTTTCTTTTTCTTTGAGTCTTATGCCTCGCTCCTTGAGATACAGCCTTTACAATATCTTATGAGCTTATTGATTTAGTACTGAAGAATGCATATTTTTTTTTTGCTTAAAGATTTCTAACTGCATCTTTCTGATGAAGAAAAAAACCCGTGTACATGCCCTATCTCCCTTTCTTGTTCACTGATTGCCTAGCGTAGGAGGTGGCATACTTGGAATTCATGGTCATTAACTTGGCTGAGGCCTGTATTACTCAGTCCAGGGCAGCCTCCCTAGAGACCGAGTCCTCCCTAAATTCCTGCTTCTTATCTCTGTGTGTCTGTCCTGGTGCCTCCTGCACCTGCACCTGTCCTGGCTGCTATCTGAAGGAAAGCATGTCATCATTAATGATTAACCTCTGCAGCCAGGAATCTGGATTGGCATTGCCAGAATAGTGTGTGCCAAGCAATCAGATAAGTATTCACACTGGTAATCTCAGCCACAGAAGGCACTTTTTGTGTGTGCTGCTTGATTTCAAGGTATTCAGAAGGGTTCATACTACCCCGGACCTTTCTTTTTTCCTTTTGTTTTTAGATTTTAAAACTCATTCATTAAGATTACTTTGGCTGCTTTATCTTTGTTCATATTTTTTGTCCTATAAAGTCTTAGAAAAATAGTTTTGTTTGTTTTATTCATGAAGTTGTTGAAAGGGGATGAATATTTAGATTGGGACCTGGAAATTAAAACTGGTTCCTGTAGTTGTAGCAGAAAACTCTTCACTGAATGTGTTGCTCATATCTCACTCTCATAGCATCTCATTTAACAGTAGTGAATTGGATGGATATCAGCACCACTGAAAAGTAATATCTTAAATAAAAAGTTATACATAACAAGTTAGAAATTGTAAGTTGGCTGGAAGTTGTCCTCTATTCTCACATTTACCCCAGTAAAATCTCCAATTTGGCTAAACTATTTGAAGGTTAGTTTTTTAAAAAATAGATTACAGACCAGGAGCAGTGGTACACACCTATAATCTCAGCTACTTGAGAAGCTAAGCAGAAGGATTGTTTTGAGCCCCACATGAGCAATTTAGTGAGACTCTTCCTCAAAATAAAATAAAAAGGGCTGAGGGTGTAGTTCCTGGGATAGAGCACCCAAGTTCAATCCCTAGTGCCAAAAATAAATCACAGAAAAATTTAAAAATATGTAATTTTTTTCCAAGTAATAGTAATTTATATCTAGCATAGTGTAATGAAGAAATAACTGATCTGATGTAAAATAAGAATCTGCCGATCTATACAAGCAGAAGCAATTGGTAACCTCAAAGATAAGCTTTGTTTCTGTAGCTTTGTTTACGCAATATATTTAGAGAAAATAAAGCTGAAGAATTCTTGAAAGCAGAATATCAGTCTCCTTTGGTAGAATCACTGTAAATTCAGAATTAGTTTCATTCCAGTGAGTACATTTCCTTGTTAATAGAACTCCCTGTCTTTCTGTTTTCTTTCTTAAATTGTGGTGCTGGGGATCAAACTCAGGGCCTCTCATGTGCTAGACAAGTGCTCTCCCACTGAGCTATAGCTGCCTCTCCAGTCTCTCTCTTTTCTTTTTTCCTTTTTTATCCCAGTCTCTTTTTGATCGTCCTGTTTGTGAGAGGGTGGTTCTCTGTGTTTGCCTTATGATAGTTACTGACAGATAGACTTGAATTATTCTTTGGATCCATCTGTAAAAACTCCAAGGCATAGCAGAGAGAACTGGTGCTTTTAGCCCTGGCTGGCTCTGACTCTCAGTTTACCAGGACCTTGGGGACCTGTTTCAAGTGTTGCCTGGTCATGCAAAGCAGGATGTGTTTGCCCAGCCCCCTGGGCCCTCACAGCACGCAGCCTGGAGCTGCACCTGAAACAATCTGCAGTTACCAACTCATTGTGGTCTGAGGTACACAAAGGTATACTGCCTGAGCAGTATCAGTAAAAGTTTGCAGATGCCTTGATTATTGTGTCAGTGCTAGATTTAGTAGCGGGGAAATCTAGAATAGAAAGTAGGTTAGCATACTAAGCAATAGTTATATCTCTAGTAAAGAAGAGAACACTCTACAGAAATTAAATACGAAGAGGGATATGGTTTAAAACAATGGAATTCTCAATTGTGCCGTGGATTTTTTTTCTAAGAAGAATAGAAGTATTTTTTAAACTCAGAAGTGTCCTGTTTCTTAGAAGTTCATAATTCTGAAAGCAAAACGAAGAAGTTTAACATTAATCTGTAAGCGTCTCATTGCCCCTTAGCCCACTCTTGTCGCCTTAGCTGTGCCTTTCCCTTACTCTCCACCAGGGTGTGTTATTCCCTAAGCAGATTCCTAAATGCCCTATGGAAGCCCCTAAGTGGAGGAGCCTGAACTTCAAGCTTTTAATCTGCAGTAATTATCCTTTAAGTAATTGACCTTTACCTTTGGGCTGTATTTTAAAGTGTTTCATGTATGTCTGTGCTGTGTATTAATGTATATTTTACATATACATAGGCGATTATAAAGGATAGAGATGCAGAGAGAAATGTTAAAATCAGATTAAAAAACCCCAAAAAGGTGAGGCCTCTTTCTGAATGGTAAAACCTGCTCAGAAGGGAGCCTGTTCAGAGGTGTTGTTCCCTCTAGATGAGTAGGGTGCTGGGAAGCTCTTGGCTGGCAAGCAGGGGACCAGCGGAGGACCAGCTGCTGGCCGTGCTCCGGAACGCAGTGGCCAAGGCCACAGGTGTAGGGCAATAGACCTGAAATGCCATTCCCCTGCTGAACAACTTGATGCGATTGTGTGGCAGGAGCTGCGGTCCCGGGAAGAGGAGCTGAGCCGCGCTGCCCTGCAGCAGAAGTCTCAGGAGGAGCTGCTCCGCCGCAGGGAGCAGCAGCTGGCCGAGCGCGAGATCGACGTGCTGGAGCGCGAGCTCAACATCCTCATCTTCCAGCTCAACCAGGAGGGGCCGCATGTGAGGAAGAGGAAGGGCAAGTTCAGGAGGAGCCGGCTGAAGCTCAAAGACGGACATCGTATCAGCTTGCCTTCAGGTATGAGCTGTTTTCACGTCTTGTAAAGATTTTGCATGACACCCTTTTATTAAGGTTTGTTTCAGCGGAATCGGGGGAAAGTTGGGGCAGTAAGATTTTGAAAGAGTGAATGGTACATGTGTCCAGTGGCTGGCTTAGTCTGGTCCTGGAACAGCCTAAGGAGTTTCCCTGTGTGCTGTGGCATAAGCAGGGCTTATGCAGGCGGGGCTCCGTGCTCCGCACTGGCTCTCGCCAGCTATGTTCATTGAGATATCCCCTTCCTTCTGAGCTTGAAGCGGAACTTTTTAGCCAGGTGCGCAGAGCCAATGATATGTGGCATTGTGCGTCATCATTACAGTTACTGCTTTCACAAGAATCGGTGGTAGTTATCTTGTGGTCTCTGAGTTTGTTTGGGACAGCACCTTCAACACCGTGTGTCAAGTACTGCAGTTATATTCCTGCCAGTGAGCCAGGAAACCTAGTGAAACTTTTGCAAGTGCTTTTAAAAATTGTGACAGTAACATAAAAGGATTACTAAATCTCTTTAGTTTACACATTAAATCGCTTTAGTAATACATTAGGAGAAGCCAAATGGAGTAGAATATAGCAAAAATTAATCCACTAAAAGAGCTCTTTAATATTATGCATTATACTTGATTTCAGGGAAAGCTAAATGCCCTCGCTATATTTTGTGATTTTTTTGTAATGCCAGGGAAGGATGGTGACAATATAGAATGTGTGCTAAATACCGGCACCTATCTCTATTCATTCTACATGTATCATATGTGTGTGTGTATATATATATATATGTATATGTCTACCTGTAAGAGCACTCTTTACTCATTCTGGTGTTTTCCTAAAATGATTGTTAACAGTGTGGACACTTGATTTATGTAACAGCAATGACCATTGTATTTTACGTATGTATAAACTGTGACTATGTATAAACTACCAGATAGAAACCCTGGAGGGCTCGCAGCACCCTGTCACTTTTTAGGTGATTGCATGTTCTCAGTTGATCAGAAGTTGCTGATATGTGGTTGTGATAGGTATGTCCAGCATACTGTTATTTGATTTGATAAAGTGAGAATAGGTTGGGGGTACATCTTACCTTCTACCTCTAGATTATTTTATTTTCAGTGAGATGAGCTTCTACTCTCAAGCACAGGTGATGGAAAAATTTCGGGAGGCTTAGATATGGTTTCCTTCTCCAGTCCCATCCCTTTCAACTTTCTTCTCTCTGTGTTATGACTATGTTATCCTAATTAATATTCATGGCTTCCCTCAGGAAGCTCTGGGGAGTGAGTGATAAGCATCTGATGGGAAAGGAAATAAAATTTGGAAGAAAGAATTAAATCATCCCGGTGGTCCTTTACTCGTCAATGATAGGAATGTTAAATAAAATTTTTTTTCAATACTAGGAATTGAACCAATGCCTCTGCATTATATTCCGAGCCCTTTAATTTTTTTTGTTTTTTTTTAGTTAAGGTCTTGCTAAATTGCTCAGGCTGGGTTTGAACTTGAGCTTCTCCTGCCTCGGTCTCCTAGAGTGCTGGGTTACAGGTGAGCACCACCACACCTGGCTGAATACAATTTCTTAGGGCTCCTGAGTCCTACTTTCACTCTGGCTTTTCTTCTCAAATGTTCCATAACTGATACCTTCAATTTATTCGAAGATGGCTGAATATATTTGACTGTTTTTGCCAGATTTCTTTTATTCCTTGGTTGTACTACTTGACGTTTCTTTTCCTGAAGAGAAAGGTGATATTTTAGTTACATATTTATTAACTTTGAGGCACTTAATAAAATATTTCAATTAAAACATGACCAAAAATTTATTGGTGTTAATACTGTCCATCATGAAGGAATGAAGTCGCCTTCTGGAATTTAACAAGGCAGTTGCCACTCCATCCCACAAGATGGTGCTGCATCGCTATAATCCTAGGACCAACTTGGCAACCTTTTCACCTTGGAATACTCCAGCTCAATGCACAGGCAGGCACATGACTCATACATGCACATGCATGCACACATACACTCATACTTACATATTCTTACTTGTATAGCACCCAGAATAGGACTAAGTATAGTATAGCAGAAAAAATGATTTTTTGTGTACCTTTTATTCATGGGAGTTAGTGGTAGAAGATTCCTTATGTCATCAAATTCTAATCTGTTTAATGGCACATTATCCCAGAAGATACATTGCAGAGGCTGGCTTTCCATCCAGGGATTCCTATAGGGTGCACCCCTGTGTGGAACTAGCTTAAAGTTCTTCTCAGAAGCCCCTACAAACTAACCCTTAATGTTTGTCCTTGTTATTTTACACACTATTTATTTGATGTGACTAATTTGGTTCACTTGTAATTTTGTCTCTGACAGTCACTGATGATTTTTAATCTTACTGCAGAATGTGGCTATAACAACTTATTGCTAGAAAACACAAATTTGTTTTATTCCTACTAAGAGTCCCTTGGTGCCTGGCTATTAACACTTTAAAAGTGACACAGCACAATCTAGGACTAAAAGCTTAAACTTAGACTTTGTGAATATTCATAATATTTTTCTTAGAATTTGTAGAAGAAAAAAGTATGGTGACAGATTTGGATGCTCTGACCTCTTAGATCACTCCCTCAGTACTGTGTTTATTTCAAAGTTATATTTTTAGGACATGTAAAAGCAATGCACAGATATTTTGGACCCTGTGGGAGCTAGTGGTGCATTCTGATTTCAGCTCGTTCAGAAGGCACCAAAGCCCACAGAGATGGCTGCCCTTGGGTGTTGCCCCATGTGGCATGTATGAGTGACTAGACACATGTGCAGGGAGAGAGAACAGATACCTCATGAGCATTCTCTAGAGGACAGTGTTGCTTTTATGGAGAAGTGATTGTTCCCATGGAGGCCACAGGAGCTGCATGAATGAGATGTCAGTGTAATCAATCAAAACACACAGTGCTTCCCCAGACCTTGCCACATGGCAATGGCCATGAGCAGATAACCCTGAGAGCCAGTCTTAGAGAGTCCAAAGGGAACTGAGCAGCTGCCACAGGCACTGAACAGTTCAGTGTTAATTTCCCCAAATATATAACTGGACCAGACTGCTTCACCCTGCTCCAAGGACAAGGATGTTTACAATAAAGTCTATTATGTTTGAAACCATAAAGAACACTTGTATTGTAAGCACTCATATCAGATGTTTCCAGACACTCTCTGAGTCTGCGGTGTTGGTACCTCTAGTCTTGTCCCTACCTACTGTAGTCTCTTGTCCCACCATATGTCCCCTGTAATGTGTCCTTAAACACTATGTCTCCAGGACCCCCTCTGAGTTCACGGAGAATTGGCTCCTTAGTGGGTGACAGTTCAAGGGCCACCTGAACCTCTCTGTAAATCCCTTCAATGCAAAATAGTTTCCTCCCTGTGTCTGACTGTTTTTCCCTTTTACCACCGTTCCCCAAATCCAGTCACTCATCCTCCTGAACTGTTTTCCTGTATCTGTTCTTTCCTTCACTTAGACGGCTCTGCCCTGCTCAAGTCTTTCCTAATTTCTAACTCCATACATAGAGGGAGGCAGGCTCCTATTTGGTCCTTTGTTTCCATCTACTTTGTCTTCCAGACCTCCTCCAGCCTACTATGTATGTCATACAGTTAACTTTAAGTACCAGTTTGGTCTTGTTGATAAACTTTACCTAACTTTTTCACTCAAGGAAGACTTGAGGATCTGCCCTGTCCCAAATAATGGGGATCACAATAGCCTTATTTACTGTTATAGCAGAAAATATTCAAGGACCAGAGTTTTCGGATCACCTATTATGTGCAAGGCCCCATTCCCATCCGGAGGGCAACATAGCTGGGTCAGACACAGGGGATCTCCACCACAGAGCTTTTGCAGTGTCGGGGGAGCAGCAGGCCTCTGCTAATAATTAAACAGATGCTTACTTGCTGTGATTATTAACTACTGTGTAGGACAAGTCATAAGACACTGATTAGTGACAGTAGGTTTTTAAAGAAGTAACATTTAAATTATGACAATGTAAGAATTTGCCAAACACAAAGGGAAGGAAGAAAACAGGAAAAGGAAGCTCGGTCTCTTGCAAGAATTGAAAGAGTGGTCTGCTTTGAGAGGTAACTCAGATGTTGATAGAGCTTTAATCAGCCCGGGAAACAGAGCCTTGAGCCAGCATGTTCACTGCAGAGGTGTGTGTGACAACATGGCAACAAAAGGGATCCTGTGGGAGGTCACTTCACCGTCACATCACATGGTTTCCTTGGGGCTCCTAGGGCAGAGAATGTGAGCTGGTCCCAGCACCCTGAAGGAAGCTTCCCACCTCCATCCCAGGCTCCTAGGGCAGAGAAGGTGAGCCCATCCCAGCACCTGGAAGGAAGCTCCCTGCCTCCATCCCAGGCTCTGAGGGCAGAGAAGCTCAGCCGGTCCCAGAACCTGGAAGGAAGCTCCCTGCCTCCATCCCAGGCTCCTAGGGCAGAGAAGGCTCCTAGGGCAGAGAAGCTCAGCTGGTCCCAGCACCCAGAAGGAAGCTCCCCTGCCGTCATCCCAAGCTCCTAGGGCAGAGAAGCTGAGCCGGTCCCAGAACCCGGAAGGAAGCTCCCCTGCTGCCATCCCAAGCTCCTAGGGCAGAGAATGTGAGCCACGTGGGTGCCAGAAGCACACCCCCGCCCCCCCGCGCAAGTGGAAATGAGAAGACACATAAACAAGCCTCAAAAACAGACTTCCAGATCACCTACAGCAACCCCAAAGGGAAACCAGATGGAACAATCTGACACTCAACCACCTGGACTCTCTGAACTGGAAACAAAAGAGGATCTGGGAAAAATGAAATCAGAAA